TTTCCTCCCTGCCCTCCTTGCATCATCAGCCTGATGTCATGGCCCAGAGGTGGCCCAGTCCATGTAGTTCTCTCCTCTGTCCCCGCAGCTGCTCCTGCCACCATGCTGGCTCACAGACAGTCAGCCCTATCTTTGAGCCTGGACAGTGCCAGAGAGGATGACTAAGCCCTGTGTGCTTGCAGCCAGCACAGCCCTGCAACATCGGGAGACCCGGGGCCTCCTCTCACGCAGGGTTCCTGAATAGGGCTGACCCATGGTTGCCCAGTTCACAGGGTGTGCCTTGCCGATGCCCGGGGTTGCCATCCTCTGTGCCTTCTCTCCCAGCTGTGACTCGCTGAGCACAGACCACAGTTTGGCTTGGCCACACACAGCTCTAACTGGCCCTAGCCATATGCCAGGTGTCCACGCCAACCCCTGTTCCCTAACCTTGGAGGCCAGTTTACCGCGTGGCCGCCTATGGCTCTGCTCCTGGCTCTGGCTCTAGTTCCTACCTGCTCAGCTCCCATCACCCTCCAGCCCTGTGCATCTCCCTGGCCACTGTGTGTTCTTTACTCTGACCCCTACTTCAGTCCTCTTGCTTCAAAACAGAGCTCACATCGTCGGATCTCAAGCCATCCTGTGTGCCTGGATGGCCGAGGGCTCTCAGTGCCTACCCGGTGCCTCTGCTCTTCCATCCTAAGTGAGGGCACTGTGGAGAGGAGGGTGGCTCCACCTTGCTTCACTTTGGAATGTGCAGGACATCCAAGGGACCCTACTGTCTTGACAGGCCTCACCCCAGTGAAGGAAAGCAGGGAGAAGAATGAGATATTGCCTGTGGACCCCAAAGTTCAGCTCCATGCCCCTGGACACTTGCACACCCGGAGATCCATGGTGGGTTACAGATGGAGGTGGAGGCAGGTGGTGGAGAGGAGGCAGACATGGTGGTGGTGAGGGAGGCAATGGTAGTGGTAGCAAAGGGGATGCTGGAGGAGGAGGAAGATGCCCCCAAGTTGGGGACGCCATTGTCCTGAGGCTTCTCCACGGCTGTGATGACCCATGCCTTGTATTCATGGGAAGGGTGAACCAACACACTATGTGTCATTTACTTCGGGAGCTGGCTGGCTTTTGTAACCCAAATCAGCATGTCACGTGTGTGTCCCGGGCCTGCCCAGGCACTGGCAGGCATCTAGAATCACTGGTGACACAGTGCACAGTGCGAAGCTGTGCGCTGGACATGCACAGATGGGCCTGCAAGGTCCTTACGGAGCCGGGAGGGCGCGGGGCGGGAGCCAGCTCTACGAGTCGCTGGGGCTGCACCTGTCTCTGTGTCCGTATGTGTTCTGCAGGTACGTCTGTCATGAGTGTCTCTATCTGCACCAGTACCCATGCATACCTCTGACTTTATCTGTGTAAATTAAACGTGAATATGTACATTCAGGTCTGTTTCTGTAGAAATATCAACGTCCACATCCCCAAGTATCAGCACAAACATCTGTGCCCTCCTTTGCACTTAGGCCTGCATCTATGTGATACAGGTCTATATCACAAAGTCATCCACGGAAAGGCATTGGCCCACACCCACGCTCTGTTCCGGGAAAGAGAGGCCCAGCACTGACCCATGATGGGCGCTTGGCAGGGGAGCAAGGTGGGCCAGAGCAAGGCGACAAAGCGCACGCAGCCCTGCAAGGACCGGCGGCGACGCGGGGACCAGAGCCACGTAGCTCTGAGGTCCTGGGTGCTGGTGATCAAAGTAAACAAATGGCAGGAAGAGGCGAGCAGAGCTCGGGCCATGGCGGGTGGGGGCTGGGAGCCAGCGCTGGGCGCAGTGCCCAGGCAGAGCCACGCCGCTCCTTCTCAGGCTCCGCATTCCTCTCCCACCTGGCGCTGCTGGCAATCGGGACTGGAGTACAAGGCCTGCAGCTGTGCACACTTGGCCGGGATATTTGAGGGGAGTAGAGCGCAGCCCAGCACTGTGCAGCGCGGCCTCAGAAAGCTACCAGGTGCCTGCTACACCCCACTGCAGCACCGAGCTCAGCAGCTCCGGAGCGGCCGAGGAAGGTGGCGCACAGCCTGTTGGCCTCGTCAGCGCAGCTGCATGCGAGTGAGGCTGGGGAGGCCACAGCGCGGTGTTGGTGGTGCGAGGGAGTCCCTGGTTTCCTGCCACCCGCACAGCTGTGCCGTGAGAGGTGGAGGCCTCTGGCCGCAGCCTTTACCCGCCGGCGCCGCGCACAGTGACACAGGGGCGCTGTTTCCGGCTCTCTTCCAAGCCCTGTGGTCCTTTTCCGTCAGCTCCTCTCGGATCCGAGCATCCAGGGGCTGCTCCACCGACCTGCCCCCGCTCCCTGCCAGAGGCCTCTGTCCTCAGAAAGCCCTCTGGTTCTTTGTGACCAGGGCCCAGAGCCCTCGCAGCTCTCTGGGCAGTGCGCTCCCCACGCCGGAGGCACCAACCCTGGAGCTCCCAGGAGCTGCCGCTGAGGACCAAGGAAAGGGACCCAGAAGCCCAGAATGGATTCGCGTGGTCACCGAGGCCTCCGAGAGCGAGGGCTGGGCTGGCCTGAGGAAAGCGCCCGCAGGCATCTCTGGGTGGCCTTCCTAGGGGTCTGAGGTGCATCATGGAGGCCACCCCCGCCTGGGAAGTGGGAGCCTGAGATCTGCCTGTTCCCCATCAGTGCCTGTGGTGCTCTCGTTTGAGGCAGGTAGAAGGCACCCTGCCTGAACACTAACGTTCTGTCCTTAGAAACGCACCAGGGCCACTGAAGAGATCTGTCTTCAGAATTTGAAGTAAGATGTTTGTGGCGAATGGTTAGGTCTACTCATTCGGCAAAGACATACGAGTTGTGCCACGCGCCAGGACCCATTAGGGGCGGTCAGGAACACGTGGACAGGCACAGTCCCAGGCCAGCTTCACGTCGTAGGTGGGCCGGAGCGGTGATGAATCTGCCCTTGCATCCCCTGGCTGTCCATCTCTGGAGTCAGTTGCCTGACAATGCAGAATATTCAAGAGACAAAACCTGCGTGGGGACAGGGTTGGGGGGGGGTCAGGGCAGGCTGGCTCTGCGCTGCCCCGTGCCCAGGGCAGCGTGAGCGGAGACTTCCAGACCGAGAACTCTGGCCTCAGCGGACGCTGTGTTCTCCAGGAAGGCGACCCCTGCAGCTCGCCTCGCCTGGCCCCGGCCGCACCTGAGTGTTTTCTTGCTCGTAGTGATTGGCCGTGGTCCGCGGCCCTTCCTCACCAGACGCTCAGTCCCATCCACCACTAGATCTTCGTGCTCAGCCTCTTGACTGGCAGACACTAAATGTCTGCTAACCCTTCTGATTTCTGCTGTATCTGTGCTCACTTAAAAAACATCTCAGGGATGTGCGACAGAGAAGCAGTAGAGGAGCGTGAGATCCGCGCGTCACATACTCAGGTGGCTCAAGAAATGTGTCACTGCTCTGAGCTTAGCCATGAGAGCAGGGACAAGACCCGAGTCCCGACTTCCAAACTTCAAGTCCTCCCCGAGGCTAATTTTTCATTGTCCTTGAAGCTAATCATGCCTGCGGAAACAGCATCACCAAATTGACTAAATGAGACTTTCAATTAACTCCAGCAGATGGTGGAGATTTTCCAGGTGACTTTCCATATTAAGTCAGCAAGTTGGCTGGACCAGGCCCCAGGAGGCTGGAAGGGACGGAAGGGGCTGCGAAGGAAACTGAAACACGTGGAGCTTCAGGAGAGAAGCCAACGACGCTGTAATGTGAGCTTGGTTTTATTGCAGTGAAAGACGGAATCAGGCCGAGTTGATCCAACACCCCCCAGCCCGCGTGGGGAGGGCAGCCTGCCCCGGGGTGGATCAGCATCAGGTGTCAGGGACAGACGCCCAGGGCTATGGTAATTTGCTCGCTAGGTCTCTCTAGGGCTCTCTGTGGAGGACAGGAGGACAATTCAGGGCAGGGACAGAAAGGCAGTGCAGTGACCAGCCCTTCACGGAGCACTGGGGTTCTGTGCCTGGTCTGGCCTGTGGGGACGATGGCATCATTTACAGTGGAGAAACGAGAGTCAGAAGCTCCTCGTTGGGTTCTTCAAGGGCCGCTGGTTGTGGCAGGGCCTGGGGCCGGGGAAGAGGACAAGCAGAGGCAGGCACAGGAAAACACCACTCAGGTTGCCAAGCGTCCTTCCTGAGTCAGACCTGAGCTGGCAGGACCTCAGCTCCTGTCCTTCTGGAAGCTTCTAGCAATGTGGAGTTCCATGGCTGAGGCACGAAGGCCCAGGCTTGTGGCATGGCAGAATGTGGTTGGATATTTGCTAAGCTTGGAAGGAATCATTCTGGACTTAAACAGCCCTGTTCATGGACTCACAGGGATTTATAAGTGGTTTCTGAGCCACATGCCCTCTCTTTCTCAGCCTCCCATTAACTGTCCCCACAGAAAGAGGCTTAATAACAATATAACCAGGCCAGGGTGATATAACCAGCCCCGCTGCCTGGATTTGGGGACAAAACTGATGTTCAGAGATCTAGATCATACCACTTCAGTAAATCTTCCTCAGTTGTTCCATTTAACTAAACATCTACTCAAACCAGAAGTTGCAAATAGCATCAGTAAAGTGGATTGGCTTCCCCAACGGCACAGGCACCCCTTGGCAGGCCCAGCCAGGACTCAGCACACAGGTGCTGCAGGCGACAGCACCAGAAGCCCTGGCAAGCGCTGCTCTGAAGGCGAAGCTCTGTTTACACAGGGTGGGGGCTGTGCTGGTCTTCATGGGAGGAAGACCTGCTCCAGCTCACCGTGTGGCTGTCACTCAGAGGTGTGATGGCCCAGCCTCAGGGGATTACGTGCTCCTGGTGTTGGCTAAGAAGTAGTCACACTTGTTGATTAGTTTGTGCTTTGTTTTCTTCCACAGAAAACTGAATCATGCATCTGCAAGGAGCATTTTAGAAAATATGCCTGCTTCTTGGAGGCCTAAGTCTGACCCTGAAGTGGCCATGGAAACTTTGTGTGCTAGGGTTGTTTTCTGACCTTACAGAGGGGAGGGAACAAACCTCATCCGGGGGTCATCTGGTGGCATCATCTCCAGGTCGTGGGTGGGTCCGTTTAGGCCGATGACATGGAGGGAGATGCTAGGATTCTCACTTCCTGCCTGCGAAGGAAGGGGACAGACAAGAGTGAGTGATCTCGTGGGACAGCACCACGGCTTTGTGGCGTGGTCCCTGGACGGCGCCCACGTGGAGCTCAAACAGTGCTGGCGCTCAGTGCTGGAGGGACATTTGGGTGGAGGACAGAGCATCAGATTTGAGATGCAGCAGTTCTAAGAAGGGAAAAGGGTAGTTAGGGCAGCTCTTTGGCCTCCCAGGAGCCCCAGCATTTCCACCCAACTCTGCCCTACCCCATCCCATTCCATCCTACCCTACTCCATCCCATCCCACCCCACCCCATCCCATCCCATCC